GAGTAGCTGCGATTCGGACTCGCGGCCAAAAAACTAGGATTTAGGAAAAGCATCGAATTTCGTTTTTCTTTCGTACTGTATGAAACGTTCTATTGAATTCATGATATTGATCGTCATACAGGAAATAAATAAATAATGAAAATGAAACATAATGCGATGGCGGTCCTCGCGTCGAAGGATAGAACTTTGTCACTCGTCACAAGCCCGAATCACAGCACAGGTTACAGCGGAGTGAGAAACATTTCTCGCGACGTTGCAAATATATATTTATATTAATTAGAATCAGGCAGCAATCCCAGCAGGCAACACACATCGGGCAAACGCACAATGCAGACGATACGACACCAAGAAGAATCGTGTCCTGCATTCCGTTGTGCACGTGTCATTGCCATTCATCTCGCGTTCTGTTCTGGTTGTGGTTCTCGTTAACGTTCCCAATCGGCTTTTAAAACTTACTATCTCGGGAGCTATCGTCACAACACTCATTCTTTTTCTTGTAGCGGCCGTAGCGACGAGGAGGCGCCGTCGATGGCGTCTCCATCATCCATTCCGTAACATTGGCCAACAAATCTATCATTGCAATTGATCCGATTATGCGTTTGTATCGAGATAATTAGGTTGTTCTACGGTACTTATAATCGGGACAACGAGATAGGTCTTAGCCTTCGTCTTTGAAATTATTAAATCATCGGAGACCTGCGTCGAGAGAAGGCTCGATAGTATTAATACGATAATAGTATTGATACTAATTTTACAGTAATAGCTCGCTTAGGTTCAAAACTCGTCTAAGTATCGAAGAAGTTCGCGAAGAACAAGGAATGACGAAGTCATTCATTACCTTGAATAATTCAAACGATTTCAAATATTCTAGTTAGGAAGAAAAGCATCGAGTACGCGCGTTTTTACTCGTGTACTTGTGTATCGCATGTTCGCGGTCCCATCGACCGCGCCGCTAGCTTATTATTTTCTTTTCTTTTTTTTTCTTTTTTTTTTTTGTAGAGTGGCTACGATCGTATATTCGAGGGATAAAAAGATAGGGGTAAAAGTCAGGAGGCTATTTCTCTCTCCCTTTCTCTCTCTCTCTCTTTTCTAAAGAATTCTAAGAAAAATCATGGCTAATCATATGCGTCGAACTTACCGTCGTAGAAGGCGCCCTTTCTCTTTTTCTCGTCGCTGCGTATTTCCGAAATCGATTGGTTCTTAAAGGCTTGGTTCAGCGCAACAAAGTGCATCGAGAAACCAAACACAAAGATGGCCAACACTGCGAGAAATCTCGCGAGATCCTTCATCAGGTTACCGATGATGATCGCCCACGGTCCAAACAGATGATGAAACGAGAGGAAGTCGAGGATCTGTACACAGGCAAGTAAGAAGCTCAGGGCGAATAGTTGATTCCTAAGGTAAAGTAAAGTTGGCCAGTAGGGTCGTTGAACGAGCACGAAGCCCATCAGATGGAATGCGACTCCACAGATGCCGAATAGTAGCACTGCCAACTTGATCCAGCCTAATCCGCTCTTGTCACTGGGATTAGTCAGCTCGAAGAGCAACAGTCCGGACAGCATTACAAGAAGACACCATTCATACCAGTACGGTAACAGGCTGGCTCTTACTACCGGATATATAGGAATTATACCGACCAGTAAAAGGAAGACCATCAGATATATGTGAGACGTAAGGTACGACATGAATTTTATAATGGGAACGTTGTTGTACTTATGACCGAGTGGAAGAGCGAATACCACCCAGACTGGCGGACAGATAAGAAATGCGATAAATAGAAGGATCGTTCTAAAGGCGTTCCAGTTCAAGCTGCCCTGCCACAATTCTTGAAGATACCGCTGCACCACCGTATGCGCAATCACTTCCTTCTGCTCGTTCTCGATCAGAACGTCCAAGAATTCCATGTTTCTGCGGTCCATCGAAGTAAGAATCCTTCCAGCCGAGTCAGCGCCTGCGGCCAGAGCTAACAATTCCGTGGCCATCGCTTCGCATTGTTTGCCGGCGGCTATCAAGTCTTTAGCTCTCTCCTTTTCCTTCTCTGACAATTTCATGTAGATATTGGAAAGCTTCGCTGCCGTGTCTACCGGTGCCGGCGATACCAGCACGAATTCCTCGATCGGTTTATTGTTGTTGCTCTTACTGCAGACCATCATGTTATAGACGAACTGAAAGACCAACGAGTTCGAATCGATCGAATAAATCACGAGCGAAACCCACAGTCAGGGGAGGAAAGAGAAAAGTTGGGAATCGCGTGCCAGCTATCTAACGCTGTTACTCGCCAAAATTTATTGGTTCGAGTAAGCGATGATCATTGTTCACGTTAAAAGTTTTGAAATTCCAATGCTGTGCCAATTACTTTGTCGAAGCTCGAATTTCAAGAAGGAACAAACTATAGGAAAAAGAACAGAGACACGATGAAAAACAGCGACGATTGCGGCTTACCCTCTTGTCCTCCATCAAGGCGTATGTATCGTGCTCTTTCTCCATGAGATACTTGAGCACATCGTTATGGCCCTCCGAGGCGGCGAACCAAATCGGCGCGCTTCCGAGATTGGTTTCGCTCTTCGGCGAGGCCCCGCTTTCGACCAGCAATTTAACAACATCAAGATAGCCAGCGCGAGCGGCGCAGTGCAACGGCGTCCAGCCGTTTTTATCGGTTGCGTTTATTTCTGCTCCTTGGCCGAGAAGAACCTCAACCATCTGGTAGTGGCCGTGAGTCGCGGCGATGTGGAGGCCGGTTTTACCGTATCGATCCGAGCTGTGCAACAATTCTGCCGATCTGCTCAATAAAAGACCCACTACCGTGATGTGACCTCCGAAACAGGCCAGATGAAGGGGATTGAAACCGTTTTCTGTGGTCGCTGCCTCCACCTTGGTCAAGGATTTGATGTCAGGTCATCGTCGTTAAAAAGTTGTAATAAAACTAATAGTTTGAATACCTGTACACCAGCCGAGTTCAACAGTAATCGTACGACGTTTTCATTTCCGGAATAAGCAGCCAGATGTAACGGTGTCATTCCAGATTCACTTCCTAGTTCTCCTACTAGAGAGCCACCAGTTGGGGGATCGGACTTCACTGTCCCAGGCACGTGAGTTAACAATTCCCGTACGGTATCTGGAGAAAAAGATCTATTGTTCTGCCGTTTCACAGGATAAAATTTAACGAAAAGAAGCTCTCTTTAACGTGTGGTAGTACTCGTTTTGTAACAACCGTGATTAGTATTCCTGAAACTCGACAGTATGCAAACATACCGCTCATACCGGTATCATAGCATCGTTGTCAAACAACGAAGATTACGCTCGGGATGCTTTTCTTGTAAAGAACGATCGCTAGAGCTTACCAGCTTGACCAAAGTAAGCGGCAACGTGAAGAGCGGTAACCCCAAGCTTCTTGCTGGATATACGAAGAGATTGAGAAGATCGCATCACCTCCAATACCTGGCCATGTCCATGTTGTGCGGCCAAATGGACCGCGGTAAATCCCGCCCGATTCTCATCGGCACATGAGGCGCCCGCTCTGACTAACGCTTTAACAACTTCGGCGTGCCCTCCTTCAGCCGCCAGCTGAAGCGGCGTCGCTTCGGTTAACTTGTTTCTCGCAGAGATGACACCTTGCCGATCGAATTTCATTAGCTCCTCGATCACACGTACGCTGCCTTGCATTGCCGCTATATGGGCGCAAGTGTTTCCATCTTTGGTACATGCCATCACTAGGCTCGGATGCCTTTGAAGGAACAGCTGGGCAACCTCTGCATAATTGTTCATGGCTGCAGCATGAATCGGCTTCTGGCCTTGATCATCCGTCGCGTCTATACTTGCCCCGAGTTCGAGTAGAAGCTTGCACACTTCCAATTGGCCAGCGCCAGCTGCCAAATGAAGAGGTGTCTGCTTTCTCAGCGTAAGAACGTCTATCGCAGCCCCGTGGTCCTGCACGAGAAACTTGACGAGATGCGAGTAGCCGTTCATCGCTGCCAAATGCAATGCCGTTCTACCGACTCTGGATTTGGAGTTTATAAACGCTTTGTTTGCCAGTAACGCATCGCAGACTTGTAGATAGCCGTGCTCGGCAGCCAGGTGAAGAGCAGATCTACCTTCCAGATCGAATACGTCTACTCTTGCGTGATTTGCCAGCAGCGTGGTCACTAGCTCCATATGGCCACGATGAGCAGCGATTAGCAACGGAGTCCATCCGACGGCACTTTGACGATTTAGAGCTTTCTGTACTTCCGTAGCTGACATACCACTTATCATTTCTGATAGGACTTCATTGTTTCCAGCTAACGCGCAATGATGGAACGCAGATTCTTGAGCCTGTTTCGTCTGGAGCGAAACATCTGCTCCACCGTCCAGAAGAGCTCGAATAACAGCACGGTCGTCACCGGGTGTTCCAACTTCCGCCGGTTCAATCTGTGCGGCGTGATGTAGCGCACTCGCTCCTTCGTTTGTCAAACTGTTGACATAGGCGGTCGCTGTTTCTGCACCTTTCTTTCCTTTCACGAACTCGATCAAGTGTCGTACCACGTCGGCCTTGCACCCCCTACAGGCCAAGTGCAGCGGTGTTTCTCCGTTCTGTCGAAAAGCGTATCATCGTAGAATAGGAGAAACGAAAGAAACGAATAGAAGAAATTATATTTGGATTTGTACCTTGGATTTGTACATGGGGTCCCCACCATCCTCCAGAAGGAGCAATAACGTTGCCAAGTTGCCATGGCTCGCCGCTACGTGCACAGGTGTCTGACCATCGTCGGTAGTTAAATTTGGTCCTGCACCAGATTTTAGTAACATCAGAGCACATCTGTCACCATCAGGAACTCTGGCTGCTATATGGAGAGGTGTTTCTCGAAGCTTTCCTCCTCGAACGTGAACTTCAGCTCCGTATCCTAATAGAGTCTCTACTACCGCAGGTTTTGCATTCTCCACGGCTATATGCAGTGCCGTATAATTGTCGTTCGTAGTCGCGTCCACCTGGGCAGCAAGAAATATTCACCCAATAATACATTTCAACGAATTTTCTCTTAATCGAACAAAATTCGATTTGAGATTCTCTACTCTAATACCTTTTCACCTCGTTGCAAAAGAGTGCTTATGATGCCGACATGACCGTACTTGGCTGCCGTGTGAATCGACCGGGCACCACGTTTATTCGGCATGTGCAAGTAGACGCCCTTCTTGAAGAGCATCGTCGCGCATTCCGAGTGGCCATTCAACGACGCTATATGCATCAATGTCGACCCGTCCTTCGTTCTCTCAAATATACTGGCTTTGAATTTGTCGGCCAGCAATTCAATAATGGAAGCGTGTCCGTTCTCTGCTGCCAGATGCATCGGGGTACGATCCTGATGATCGGTGATGGAGGCTGATGCTCTGACACCGTAAAAATATTTGACGAGGGTTTCGTCACCCTCCGCGCTCGCTATATGCAGTGCAGTTTGTCCATCGCCCTGGAAGGATATTCGCATTCAAAGATATTTAAGGACTTTTTTTTCGAAGGTACGTAACATCTCTCGAGATTCTAAAATTCTCGCGTACGTTTTGCATATCCACAGCCGTTCCGTAGTCCACCAATATTCGCACCATGTCGATGTCTCTTCTTCTAGCCGCCAGATGAAGAGCCGAGTCACCTATGGTGGTAGTGGCACGGAGTTGATCCGGTGCCTGTTGAGACAACAATTCTCTGCACATCGATTGATTCCCAGCTTCCACTGCCAGCAGCAAAGGTATCTTCCCTTTCTGCAAAATTATAGCGAATGCAACGATATTCTTTTCGAGACAGTTTTCTATAGACTACGGTGCATTTTCGTTTCAGTGTCGAGAGACATTAGACGACGGATCGATTTTTGCGAAGGGAAAGGAAAACCAATTCGCCTTACAATTTCCATTAATAACCACATTTGTACGTAGACGTAAATATCGGCGAACAGTTTCTCTTGAAATCGCATAAGCTAGCTCGTTTACGAGACAAAGAAAAGACGTAAGTATATATGCGAGAAAGAAAAGGAAATAGATGTAAATGTGTAGAAGGAGATGGTAGAAGAAGAAGTAGAAGAAAGAGACGAAGAAGAAGTGAACTCGGAGGAGAATTATGACAGTTGTTCGGTACCAGGCCGCGATAGTCCTGGGCGATCATTCGCGTCACGCAAGGAACGTGGACGAGAATCGGGAGCAATGCGCGATAGAAATCACACAAAAACTGTTAATTCGATCAGGGAATGCCTGACACAACGCTGCCATGTTCGAAGCCCGAGCAAATATAAGAAAGTCAAATGGTAAAATAAAAAAAAATATATCAAATTCTATCTAGTGATTTTTTTAGTGACATGTATTACTTACCCCATCAACTTTCAACCTAATGTCCCGACCGGCGGCAGCCAGTAATGCTCGTAAAATAGAAGTCGCTGTACCTGTTTGCCTGGATGCAACCAAATGTACAGCAGTTTGTTGCCTAGGCTGTACTCGAAACGGTAAAAGGAACATCACATACTTTGAATAGTTAATGAGTTAAAAACGAGAAAAGAAAAGTTCATACTCCTCCTGTGGCATAAGGGTCGACACCACGTTTTGACAGAAGCAATTTAACAACATCCTCCCTGGAGTACATAGCCGCGATGTGAAGAGCATTGTAATTGTCCTGCGAAAAACGGAGACGAATTTTGTTAACGCAATAGACTTTTTAGCAAGTGGTCGATGCGGCGCTTTCATCTTCCTGTCGTAGTTGCTTCCGTTTGATCGAACCGAATAGCTCCGGTTGGTAAATGGAAATAAATCGCAAGACCGAGCGAGACTCGCTAGGTCAAGTGGCTAGTATGGAAACCGAGTTATAAATTGCGTTTTGCCGCGCCCAGAATAAAATGAATGGCTTATCGTCAGACAATTTGAAAATGACGTCGAACTGTTGCGTTGGGTGGGGCTAAAAACCCCGATTCTTGCGATTAGCTATTTGTTAATGAAGGGGCGCGACCAACCTCTTTTCTCGAAATTCCTGGCGATTCCTGGAGTTTACGTAATCGCGGAAATACCCACGGAAAAATGGCTACAATTGACTTGGAAATTTTTCAATTCTCTGGGGATTTTTAGAATTGGTCAAGTATGAGTAAGCATGAGTAAGTAACAATCACGTAAGCATGACTGCCGCGAAGAAACGCGTCGATAAAATCTGTAAGTGTCGCCTAATCAGCTCCTAGAATCGAGCTACTTTTTCGCCCTACTGACTCGTCGGCCTACTTGCTTGCTTACTTTCTAACCTCGGTAAACCCCTTGGCCTTGGCCCTCCTTCACGCGATCTTACCCTCCTTCATTCGACTTAACAGGGATTACAAGGAGATCGTTAACTATACATGTTCTATGGTTTGCACTGGCTATGACCACGCAGCCACTCAAATATTACGTGTTGCAACCACGCAACGCAGCCGAGAATTTATTCGAAAATCGATATTGCTACTTGCAACGATATCTTAATGAGAAAATGTTTATCACTTTTTTTAAAAATATGGATCATGAGAAACTGAGAAATTCTTCGAACTTATCGATCACGTTTTACTCATTAAACTGCTAATTAAACTTAAACAAACTTGGAAATAACTAATTAAACTTAATTAAACTTGGAATAATCTTCAAATACTTTTGAAATACTTTGAATTTCTTGGGATACTTGCGTTATTCCTGGCGCCTACATCCGCTCCCAGCTCGATCATTCGTTCGAGCAATCCTGTGCGATTGTCCTTCACCGCATACATCAATGGTGTCATGCCCGTCGCCTGGAAATCAGAAACGTTCATCGTACAGTGGTCGAGACAAAGACAATAGACTACTTTCTTAACGAGACTATTTTTCCTCGACTAACCGGATCCATGATACTGGCAAGAGGAGCGAGGGGACCATCCTCTCCAACATTTTGCACCGCCTTTTCCAGAGATTTGAGCAGCTGGTCCACCGGTGCCCATTCTCCACGCGCGGCAAGCCCGAGGAGCTTTTGTGCTGCTTCCCTGCTGGTTGCTCCAGCAGATCCAGGTTTACTTCCAGGTTGCGTTCCATCCGCGCTCGTTGCTCCGCCGGTGCTTCCCACCGACGCCGATCCTCCGGCTTCATCTTTGTTTACGGGACTCTCTTCCTTGCTGGAGGGATTCTTCTTTTCGTCCTTCCCACCCGATGTCTTCTTACTGTTACTGCTCATGGTACTCCGTACGCTCTTTCATCGTAGAGCCCCGACATGTTTCACAGTCGAACAACGACTTCGTTTGCCACTTGAAAATTTACGTCTTCGCTTTTTCTTTTCTTGATACTTGAAAGCCGTTAAATGATTACCGATAAATGATTACGTTCTTTTCCCCGATATTTCTCGAGAATCGATGATGAAATGAGAAAATAAACCGATGATAGAATCGGAGATCGAGCGACTCGGTTGCTCGGATGCGTGCTAACCGTACACCCTAACGATTCTGAAGACGTTACGTAGCTTGCGAAGGGTTGCCTTCCCTCGACCCTCTCGCTGCTCGAGCAGGATCGACCAATCACTGTCACGGTAGTGCGCGAATCCACGGGGTAACACTAGCAACCAACAACTCGATTCAACCTTGCCTAACCGACTAGCTACTGTAGTCCTCGCCTCGTTGAATGTTAAGAAAATGCGGTGGTGAACTCGGTGGTGGTAGCAGCGGTGGCAGTGGTGGTTCGGTGGAGCTGAGAAAACTACTACGATGGTGGGGAGCAGAAGGTGGTACGGTGGTGGCATGGTCGACGTCGACACGCGACTTCCGGCGTGGGCCAGCAAGCACGCCATCCGCCTATCTAGAGTCTTCCAGCCTTAGACTTTAACTGCTGCTACTTTCCTTGCTCCAACCGATTTACTTTTTCTACATATCTCTTCTTTTTTTCGCCTGGTTATTCCATCGCTTGCTTTTGCATTCCAACATTCCAACGGCTTAATCGATGTTCCAACATGTCTTTAATCAAACATAAATTATTTTTAAAGAAATATATATATTTCTTTATATGTATTATATATATAT